AGAGAGAGAGAGAGAATAAACATAACTGGTAGTGTTCATTCTCCTGTATACTCCCAGTCACATCTCTCCATCCGGGGACATCCATTTGCCTTTTGGGGTCTCACTGTCGCCCAGGCTGGAGTGCAGCGATGTGATCATGGCTCGCTGCAGCCTCAAACTACTGGCTTCAAACAATCCTCCCACCTCCCAAGTAGCTGGGACTACGGGCAGGCGCCACCCTGCCCAGTTCCCCCTTCGCTCTTTAATTCATCTTCTCATAGATAGCCCTCCTTGACACTGCACTCAAGGGACACTTTTGTGTCTTCTTCTTGCTTGACATCTCAGGACCAATCACCCAGGTGGCCGCTCCCTGTTGCTGGACGACTTCCATCCTGGTTTCCTCCTAGCCCCTAACCACCCACTCTCTGACTCCGCCTTTACAGACTCCTACAGGGCAGGGACTCTCATGGCCCAGTCCTGGGTCCTTGTCTCTATGTACATTCACTCCCCAGGTCAGGGGTCCTTAATGAGGAACCGAAGGCTCCCATGAACTTGAGTGAGAAAAAAGAATCATGTCTTTTGTCCACTAATCTGCAATTAAAATTTGGCATTTCCTTCAACATGAGCTTAGGTCACAAACCACAGGCATACTAGCAGGTCCTGAGACTCATTAGAAATCCCAAATATTTTCATATCATAACACATTCTTACAGTATCTTAAAACATTGTTTTTACTCAGCCTGATTTTGGAATTATGGACATTATCACACCCACCACTGGGTAATGCTATGACTGATGACAGATTTTAGTTTTCATATTTTGCTTATGATTTCCATATTACTGAGTGTTCCTATGCTTTGATTTTATGCATTTCTGAGAAAGGATCCTTAAGCTTCACCAGGACCAGATGCCAAGGAATCTGAGGCTCCAAATGCATCAGGGCCCTGCCCCAGGTGCTGAGATGGGTCCCTGGCTTCCACATCCCATCGTGCTGATGGGGTCATCACCATTTCCCACCCAGACTTCTCCCCTTCATGTCCCCAACTCACCATCTCTGCATGGTTTCCAATGAGCATCTCAAGTCCAATGTGATTCCTCAGCTCCCACCACCCCTGTCCCTGCAACTCCCACCCCATTCTCCCGTCTTTCCCATCTCAGGAAATGGCTCTACCCAGTTCTGAGTCCTAAACCCAGACCTCAATCTTTTTTTTTTTTTTTTTTTGACAAGTCTCCCTCTGTCGCTCAGGTTGGAGTGCAGTGGCGTGATCTCGGCTCACTGCAACCTCCATATCCTGGGTTCAAGAGATTCTTCTGCCTCAGCCTTCCAAGTATCTGGAACTACAGGTGCGTGCCATCATGCCTAACTAATTTTTGTATTTCACCATATTGGCCAGGCTGGTCTCGAACTTCTGATCTCATGATCCGCCAGCCTCAGCCTCCCAAAGTGCTGGGATTACAGGCATGAGCCACCGCACCCGACCTCCAGACCTCAATCTTAACTTCTCTTTTTCTTACTGGCCACACTCAACCCTAGTAAGTACTGCCCACTATGATCCCAATGTAGATTTCAAATCTATTTATTCACCTTATTCTGGGCCAGGCTGTCCTCCTCTCCATGGGTCTGCCTCTTGTGCCTTCCTATCTCTAACCCCTCTGTCAGCTCCCAGGAGATTCTAATGTGTGGCTGGCTGGGCCCACCAGCATGGATAAGGACAAGTGCAGCTATACGGAGTTTGGTCTCAGACTTCTTCATGCATCACTGACCTCCTAGAACCTAAATTAAAAAGCAGACTTCCAGGTACTGAGCACCTGCTCCAAGTGGTCAAACAGCAAATTCATGCCTAAGGTGAGCCTTTCCCAGGCATCTTCCCCAAGATTCTCATTTGCCTGAATGTGGCCAATCTGAGGCCTGAAGTCTAGCCCAAGGTCACCATATAGCAGGCTAGGTTCTAAGACTCCTTGCTAAAGGGCTGCTTAATCACCAGCTGGTGATTCAGGGCAGCACAGGGTCCTCTAGAGTGACTGGTGCTCCTCAAGCACCTCACTGGTCCCCTACTTGTCCTGCAGTTGCAAGTGGCTGGGCAGGGCAAAGACTACCCACAGCTGGAGCCCATCACCCAATTTGCCACACCCGCCCACCAGCACGGGTCCTGGGATGGATAATCTGGGCCAGATGGGCTCAGTTAGGCTACGCTGGGCTCTGGAGACTAACCTTGGCCTGGGTGGTGGGAGCTGGGTCTGGCTCATGGCTCAGGCACCAGCTGGAAGGGCAGGGGATGGATCTCAATAGAGGAACTGACTCAACATGGGATCTACTGCTCTCTATGCCCTGCACCGACTCCAGGATTAGACCTGCCCCTTCTCCATCACTCTCAGGCTGCCGAATTCTCAGGCCTGTGATGGGGTACAAAGGCCTGACCTCTAATCACCCTTCCAGCCAGCAAAGAGGCTAAGCTTTGGTTCCTGGCCTACTGCGCCCTCCCCTTGGCCCTGGGTTTGAGTTCTGGCTCTACCACACTGTCATTGTGGGCCCTTGGAGAGTACTATGTTTCTCTGATCCTCACTTTACAGATCTGTGTCATGGGTCAGGACACCCTGCTCTTTGGTAGGGAGAGGACATTTGCAAAGGGTCCTGAAGGAAAGGAAGGAAATTTTCACAGGCAGGGGCTTGGGGAAGAGGGGTGACCCAGACAGATAACAGGTGCAGATCAATGGAAGAGCAGCCTCCGTTGCCAAGGAGAT